GGTTTTGCCAGAAATGGCCGCAGGCTGGGGTGCAAGGCCTTTGTTTTGCGAACGGGATGAGGGGGCCCTTCTATGTGCGGGGTTAGTTCATATGGTGGGCTGCAGGCAATTCTACAGGAAAACTTTGGATTTTGGCGAGGCTGTGCACGCCAATGACTGGGATTAGCTGTGTGAATCTTGTTTGCATCACCATTCAATGTCGATATCAAGTTCCGGCGTCCAACATGCGCAACCACGACAGATCTTCCAGCGTTCGGAACTTGGCCGTTTTTTTCCTGGCCAGGGCCTTCACCAAGGATTTGCGGATCAATAAGCCCTTGGTTGACGAATAGGGGAAGTCCCATTTAAGAGGGGATCCCTCACTTTCTGGGGAGCACCTGCAAAACAAAATCACCAGGTTGAGTGATGTCGAGCCCCTGGGCTTTCATCAATGAGGCGAAGGGCAGCTGAACTGATTTCATCAATGATTTGGCTTTATTCCTGATCCCTTCTGAAGTTCTCAGCTCTTGATAATCAGATGGAAACATGGGTATGTCCAAAACAACTATGCATGTTTCTGTTGGTCAATTCCGCCAGAGTGAGCAATGTAGTCCAGGGCATTCCTTGCTGTTCGCCGACAATCGCCTTCAATACCCGTACCGAAATCTACCACCCAAAAGTGAAGTGGTGTAAATCACTTGGCCTTCGGATGAACCACAGTTGGGTGAGAGTAGATGTCACATTTCCCCCATTTGGTTAGTCATCCCGTTTACTTACCGACATAAAGGGAATTGTTTCATCTACTTTCACCCTGGAGCACTGGTAGGTGAACTGGAACCACGAGCTACAATATCTTTGGCAAGCAGTTTGGTTTTCCTAGTGAGGACGCCACAAGGAGGCTGTACAAATGCAACGTAATACGTCAAGGCTCCACGGAACGCGCTTTGGAGACATCGTCGCCCATACTGTTAATGCACAAAGAAAACTTTTACCGCTTGAAATATAGAATGGATAACACTGCGTGAATACTGGGATAAATCACCTACCTACTGGTGCAGAGTCCTTCCACAGTAGGATTTGGCCTACCCCACATTGCCCACAGCTCGGAGATCCAACGCAGGGTCAAGAAGCCCAAAGAGCCGCCAGCGCAGCAGGAGCCGGCAGCAATAAAATGCAGACGTGCACATCAAATTATACATGCAGACATACATGCAGACTTACAGACATACATGCAGACATGCAAACATACATACCTACCGACATACATACGTACATACATACATACATACATACATACATGCATATACCTATTTGCTTGCCTACCTGCTTACCTACCTGCATACCTACGTACAAACATACAGACTTGCAGACTCACAGGCTGACAGACATGCAGACATAGGGACATACAGTCATACAGAAATACTGGCCTACAGGCCTACAGGCCTACAGACGTACAGATGTACAGATGTACAGACGCAGAGAACACATACACACGTACATGCACACACACACAAACATACACACACACACACAGACACACTGGCACACACACAGACAGACAGACGGACAGAGACAGGCAGACAGACAGACAGACAGACAGACAGACAGATAGGCAGATATGGACAGAGACAGAGACAGAGACGGATACAGAGACAGAGACAGAGAAAGCGACAGAGACAGATAGGCACATGCACATGCACAGGCACCCTCACCCACACGCACATGTACACATACACATACACATGCACATACGTAAGTACGTACATACATAGATGTGCCGATATTTTATGTGCATGTATATATAGTCATAATATGCGACCCCTTTTTTCAGGTTGTACTCACTGTACTCACACCTTGGAGCCAGCAGCATATCTCAACCAGGGCCCCCGCAAAAGGGAGGTTTTTCTACACAATTCCAAATGGGTGTGACCAAGCCTGGATATTGCTTCTTGGAGATGTAACGACGAGCCTCCCCTACAGAGCAGAGGGATCCTGATGGTCACTTGAATGGGAGCCTGTGTTTTTGCGAGTTTTAATTCGCGGAGGCTTCGTGCAGGATCATGCGATAGATGATCCATTGTTGGAAGGTACCGATTTTCCCAAGCCCCTTCCTTCAGTGATCCCACCGACAGGCAATGGAAAGCTGTTGCAGTTTCCTCGTCTGGGAGCCTTGACAACAACAAGAAAGAAACGAGTCCACAGCATTTGGCTGAAGCCTCATGCGGGCACAAGGAATTTGGCCGAGATGTGTCCCGCGGAATGGCAGCAACAATTCTCTTCCTTCTTACTGTCCGAAGGTGATCACATGGGAATGTGGTGAACATGGAGACATTCATTTTTCCTTTAATCTGTTGCTGCCCAGGGCAGCCTTGAACACGACCACTTGGGTGATTGTGACGTTGTTCACGCCCAGCTGATGCATGCCGATCTTTTTTCGACGCTGCCGTATGCACCACGTGCATCTCAATTTCCAAAGCATGCAGTATTGCACGATGGATAAGACTCATGCCATTGGCTCCGCCCACGTTTCCAGGAGTCGAATAAGGCTTCAAAGAAAAAGCCGCAGGCTGTCCCTCAGCCTGAATTAGTGGCCCAGACCGTCAGTTGCTGTTTTGCCACCTGTACAAAGATCCATTTTATGCTTGCATGGGTGTATTGGGCGGAATTAGGGAACCCCATGGCATTATGCATTGTGCTGAGTTCTTTCTAGCATTTGAATGACATTTGTGTGTGTCTTTTTTGAGAGTACTAGTTTGAGGTTGCTTTGCAGGGAAACGAAAAGGACAACCGAAGCAACTTTTGGGATTGCCCAATTTTGACACTCGAATGGGGTTCAAGGGCCAGTTTCTGTGGTAGCACGGGATCCCCAAGTGATGTCGTCATGGGAATCAAACACCTCGATCTCAAAACCGAGTCAACTTTTTGAAGCTGTCCAAGTGAGACGGTCATCCAAACTAAGGCTAAAGCCAAGGTAGCAAAAGCCAAGAGTCGCAGAGAGGAGCGCGGCAGTGCTATAGGGTTGATCAGAGCGTGGGCGGATTTGTGTGATTGAGTCAACCATGGGGTTTAGTCCAAGCGGTTGTAACTAGTTGAATTCTCGTGGCAGTACGGAATCCCGACTTGTAACTAATAAACCATGCAGCTATATACCCTCCCAGCGTACCAATGTTCCTTCTGTCTGGTTTAAAGGGAAACCAACAGGACACCGCCGTGTTGGGTGGGGCCCTTTTTTTGGCAGATGCGGACAGGAATGAGCTGGGTGGGAAAGGAGACAGCTGATGTGCAATTGAGGTAGGCTTGGTGTGACAAACATCCGGGAGTGAACACACGGGCCTTTGGAGCATCAGCAAAGCTGGCGTTGGCCTTGCTATTTTTGAAGAGAGCCATCATATTTTGGAGGCGGCAGACATCACCCGATGAACATTTGTCATTCAAATACTGGTATCTTGGGCATGCAGAGTGCAGGACAGGTGAAGATAGACGGCACAATTTCCTCATTTTGTTTAGTCACCTGATGAGTACATACTACGCCTTACTAAGCCACAGGGATTTGCCATCTACTTTCATCCTGCTATACAAGGCTCGAAATTATAGTCGCAACGGTAGACATTGAGGGGCCACTTGACAGGAAGAGCTCGAGGAGTCCACGCCTTGGCCAAAGGGCTGCACACTCTTCATAGAGCCAAGAACCACAACCGAAACATAGGCGTGAGACTCTTGTCGCCTTTTCTGGGGCCATGAAGGACCATGCGCCGCATCCATGATGTTTCGTTGTAACTTGCGAGTCGGCTCGCACTCGGTAGAGGTTGTTCGTTCAATCCAGACCTCCGGTGAGCTGGGGTGGGGTTCCCTTCAACATGAACGGCCGTCGCTTGTTTGCCATGTGATCTCGATGTGGGGTGTGTGGACACTTTGTTACCCTGGTATTCAAAGGCAGACGAGTTTCGGACAAGTGCTGAAGCAGTTGCTTGGAGCTGCACAACTGCTCTCTTTTTTGAAGGGGGACATACAAACATTCTGGCTTCAAGTGAAAGTGAAAGGCCATGATGCCCTTCAGGTCCGCAGGGTGTTGTCTAGCATGAAACTGCAACGTGGTGCCAGGGCTTGGAGACTGGAGGTTTGTGGGTCAAAAGTACGGGGAACCCAACAATGGGTGGCTTCCATTGGGTTTCTGTTGAAAAACACCTCAAAGGGGCACTCAACCACGGCCTACCCAGGTGTGACAGACGGCCCTTGGCCAAAGGGTGGAAGCCAAGGACTGAGTCGCACACTCCGCAGGGTTCCCTGAGGTTCGGTCAAAGTTTCGGGATGGGGGGACATTCGGGACAAGCCCAAAATTTCCACTCGTCTCTCGGGGACGCAAATAAATTTTGACCGCGCCTCTGCAAACCATCAATGCTGACCCTGGAACAGCTCCATTTTGTCCGGCTGGCAGAGTGGCACGCAAGGCATGTGAGCGCACATTTGGATTGCACTCTTCGGCCTTGGTCATGAGGCATGTTTCGCACTGAGTGTTCCAATCTTGCTAGTGCTGAAGCTCATAAAGATGCCCTGACTTAAGAGCCCAGGCATCTGAGGGCCTCACAGTGTTGATCACTTGGTGACGCCGCACAGTGTGTGTGTGTGTGTGGGCCATAGTGTGTCAAAATAGCGGCACCGGGACCCAACATCTTCGGTTTTCTTTCGGCTTCCCTTCAGAATCACAACATGGGTACTTCCAATTAACCTGAGCCCTATTAAGAGGAAAGGGATGAGCATAATCTTCCACCACCCCAAAAGGGCACGGTAATTACCATACGATAACTCCAAAAAAGCCACGCCCACATTAAACGTCGGCCAGTCGACGCGAAGGATAGCACCAGCGCCACCGCCGGCAAAAAGCGCCCGCAAGGTGAGGAACTCAGACTGGTTGATAGGGTCTGGGATCTCCAGGCTGATTTTATAAGTAGGCCGGAATCTGCAAGAGCATGTTTTTGGCTTCACTACCGCAGGGCTGAGTGGGGGTTTGTCATGTCGAAGCCATGGCAGACACAGCAGTGCAGACCTGTGCAGAGCTGGCCGAGAAACTGGCGCCGGGGCGGCTGCCAGACATTCGCGACCGCGCTCTCAAGGCCTTGAGCTCGAAGCTGGAGGTGGGCTTGCTCCCTGCCAAGGCGGCTTTGGACACACCTGGAGTGCCGCAGCTGCTGCTGCACTGGCTCAACGACCGGCAGGATGCAGCTCCTGTGCCCTTGCTGTCGGCCGCGCTGCGGCTCATCGCGCAGCTGGCGCGACACAATGCGGTCAGGCTGCAAGAGGCTGGCTGCGTGGCCTTCCTGCAGGACTTCCGTCCGCAGGTGCCGACGGAGTGCCTGCAGTCCCTGGACAATGCGCTTTGGGCTTTGCTGAGCCACGGGGAGGAAGCTCACATCGTGGAGACGCCGCGTCGACAGGAGCTCTGGGAGCGGCAGGTGCCAGATGGCGAGACCATGTTTACCCCGCCAAAAATGCTGGCGCCGCGTTCCTGGGAGCCTGTGCTGAAGATCCCTCTGACCGAATGCTCGGATTTGTGCAAAGCAGATCAGCAGCTCCTTTTGGACCTGTCGGTCCGCCTGAAGTTTGCAGAGGCGCCGCAGCGCCGCAGCGCCTGCCGAGAGCTGGCGGAGCTGGCGGTGGACATGCCCCCCACGCTGCTACTGGCCTTCCCCCCGCTGGTGGAGGGCCTGGCGCTGTCTCTGCGCGAAGAGACGGCCGCGGAAGCGCTGTGCGTCCTGCTGGAGCGGCTGGAAGAGATCTCACAGCCATTGGACCTCTTTGGCACGAAGCCCAGGAATTGGCTGGAGGAGCTTCCTGCTTTGGGGCATCTGATGGCACAGCTGCTTTCAGCAGGTCCAAGCCTAGCCTCGCAGCATGCCCTGAGGACGGGAGAGGCATCAAATAAACTTATTAGGCATCAACAAACAACTTATGGTCAAGGAAAAAATATTCTCATTCCTATGCGAGAAGGAAGGAAGGAAGGAAGGAAGGAAGGAAGGAAGGAAGGAAGGAAGGAAGGAAGGAAGGAAGGAAGGAAGGAAGGAAGGCAGGAAGGAAGGAAGGAAGGAAGGAAGGAAGGAAGGCAGGAAGGAAGGAAGGAATCAAGGAATCAAGGAATCAAGGGATCAAGGGATCAAGGGATCAAGGAATCAAGGAATCAAGGAAGGCAGGAAGGAAGCAAGGAAACAAGGAAACAAAGGAAGGAAGGAAAGAAGAAAAGAAGTGTCGGTTTCGGGATCGGCGGATGCACCCTGTGCTGAATCATCACCTCATCGATCATCATGGGGGGGGCTGCCCCCCTGTGTTTGCTTTTTACACTGTTGACCTTCATACAATCTACCATTTTGGCTCAAGGCCCTTCTTTACACTTTGCACAATCAGAGCTATGTGCTTACTGTGAAAAGACCTTGCGGCCGTGCATTACACATACCCAGAGTTCAGTACAAATTTATAGTCTCACCAATCCATGTGAGATGCATTGGGTCTGACCTGAGATAGATCCACAGCAGGATTGAGATCCCCTGCTACCGGACTCAACTGTGGTAGCGGAGCGGTTTTTCAGCAAAGATCCCTCCAAGCTATCCTCAGATAGAAAAAATACGCTCAACAAGTACTTCCTGAAGGGTACAACCAATGTGTGCCTTTGCAGGCTCTTCAGCTTCTTCGGAGTTTCTCATTTTCACAAGTTTGAGATCTTGCTCAGGAGACTGAAGTCAGCACGGATCGATTTGATGCCCGTCATCACGGCGCAATCGCCAGACTTCCTCGCTATGCGTGCAAGACGCAAACAATCGAGCTATTGGCCTTGATTCTGGGACAGTATGTGACCGTGACGGGCGTGCAGCCAAGACACCAGGACGCGTTTCCACTATATGGCAGTCTCATTGCGCAAGTTTTTCTCCAGAGTGAACTGTCAGACCAACGTCCACCAATGTTGCCCACGCGGGGCGCCATGGGCGGACTCCTTGCAGGCCCGCGAGTGGAGGGTCTGGTTTGCCAAGTCCGTCAGCGCCGGCGGTGAGACAAACATGACTGAAGCTGGCCAAAGAGGCGGGCCTGTTTTCCTTTCATGGTGAGGTGATTGGTGATCGCCTTTTCACCAGCGATCTTTGCGCTTTTACGCTTTCTGTCAGTCGCCTGAAAGCAGCGCAATGCAGAGCGACAATCATGAACATTGGTCATGCTGCATATTGCTGCGTGTTTTTGAGCTAGGCACCAGCGCTATCTCCAACTTTTGGGCGGCGCGTTGTGGGAAGCAAAGGGGGCAAAAAGCCTGGATCTTCTTTCCACCAAAGCGGCCACAAACTTAGTAGGCGCACATGCTTACCCTGTAACATCAATGGAACAGGCGCGGGGGTTAAGACCCGCTCGGCTCCTCTAAAGAGTCCAGCGGGGCGGGCGGGGCAGAAACTGATTAAAATGCCTTCTTTGAGAGGCGGGGGCAAGGTTGCGCGAACAACTGGCCAAACGCAAAAGAGTCAAAAGACCGCCAACTGCATGAGAGCGTAGCAAATGCATCAACAAGCTCGCGTGATAGATCTTTGAGCCCTTGATAGCTAAGCCCCGTTTAGAACGCAGACTGACGGAAGCTATGAACAAGGTAGAGTGGCGCCTGCCAAGTCGATCTCGAAACAGATCGCAATGTGGATCCTTACAAGAAGAAGATGACCTTCATGATCCATGCGACCATCGATGACGAGCTGTATCAGATCCTGGACAACGGATTGAAGCGTGTTTGCATGGCATGTGTCGATGACGTCGTAGTCAATCACGAACCATCCGCATCCGCACTTCTGAAAGTTCTGACTGGGAGGAATGCAATGATCGTTATGGCCTTCAACAGCTACAACATAAAGATCGCTGCAGAAAGGACGGCGCTCACGAATGAGACATTCTCTACCAAGAACATCATTGCTGCCTGCGCGTCCGACAAGCAATGCGTCCACAACTCAACTATCATGTTGAAAGAAAGATTGCCAAGAGAAGATGCTGAGCGCTACACCACAAAGATCGACAAGTTCATGGAGGTCCGCCGAACGCGAAGAATCCGATAAGGTTCGGCCCAGCAGTGTGACTAGCAGCAAAGACACAGACAATCGTAGACTTCCATGACCCATCCAACACCGAGGACGTCGTCCAGAAAATACTAACCAACAACAACTTCAAGAAAACCCTGCGTCAGTTTCAACGAGATCCCAGACATCCAAGGTCCGACCTCAGCGCGCGCGAGATTCCCTGGCACATGTCAATGCAAAGACCCACTCTACAGCGAGACATCCGAGTACTCGTCACTGGAAGAGATCAAGGCACAGCAGCCAGAGTCAGAGTATCCCATCAGGCCCATGGAATCAAGAAGAACAACAAGTACACGTCGGGGAAGAAGATCGATGCTTACGTGAAGACAACTGGATCCTTGGTACAGTCAACCGTCGAATCGATCCACCGGCACAGCTTCGAGACGAGACACACTTCATCCCCAACGCTCAATGTCTCACGGTAAATCTTGGATCGCTGACCAAGAATCCCAAGTTCCAAGGAAGAGAAGTCGAGGACACCCCCGTGAATGAACGACCAACTGCGACACACGCCACAAACAATGCGCACACGCGACACAAACACACACACACACACACTACACATCACACACACAACACGTACACACAAGACACACGCAACACACACACAACACACAAGCGCAACACACACACACACACAACACACAATACACAACCCGCGCAGCGCACACACACACACACGCACGCAACCCACGCAACACACGCAACACAACACACACACAAGCGCGCACACATGCACAAACACAAACACAAGCACAACCGCAAACACAAACACAAACACAGCCACAGCCACAGCCACAGCCACAACCACAACCACAACCACAACCGCAACTACAACCACAACCACAGCCACAGCCACAGCCACAACCGCAACCACAACCACAACCACAACCACAACCACAAACACAAACACAAGCACAAACACAAACACAAACAAACACAAAAACACAAACGCAAACACAAACACACACAGGCACACACACACACACAGCAACACACACACACAGCAAAACACACACACACACAGCAACTCACACACACAGCAACACACACAGCAACACACACACAAACACGGCAACACACACACACAGCAACTTACACACAGCAACACACACACAGCAACACACACACAGCAACACACACACACACAGCAACACACACACACACAGCAACACACACACAGCAATACGCACACACAGCAACACACACACACACACAGAAAAATCACAGCAACACACACACACACAGCAACTCACACACACAGCAACTCACACACACACACAGCAACACACACACAGCAACACAGACAGCAGCACACACAGCGACACACACACACACAGCAAAACACACACACAGCGACACACACACACACAGCAAAACACACACACACAGCAACAC